CTACAAGTTTCATGGATAAATCTGCAGTCATCTGAGGTATGGTTTCCATTACATCTGTAACACCGCTGGGCTGCCGTAGGTTGCTTTTGTTGAAATCTTTTCTTACTCTTAGGTGCACTTAGCTTGTGCACACCGGGCGTAGTGGAAAGGTGTTTCCTTTGAATTTCCAGGGCGTCATTTGTCGCCGTCTCCATCGCAATGGCGATCTCGAGCGCAGATTGGTAAGTGAGGTTTTTCTCTGAGAGAAGTTTCTTTTGAATGTGTTCGTTTTTCAGCCCACACACAAGTCTGTCCCGTAATGTGTCATTAAGGACGTCTTTAAATTCACAAAACTCACTAAGTTTACGTAGAGCTGCAATGTACTCACGAACGCTCTCCCCCTCCTGCTGGTCTCGCTTGTGAAATCTAAATCTTTCTACTATAACCAACGGCTTTGGAGAATAATGTTCCTTCAGCGCTTTCGTAAGTTGCTTGTATGTCCTGGCCTTAGGTAATTCGGGTGCTGTTAAGTCTCTTAACAATGCGTATGTTTTGGGGCCCACGAGGCTCAGTAGCGCGGGAACTTTTTTGTTGTCGTCCACTGTGTTTGCTGTGAAGAAGTTATCCAGCCTTTCCTCGTACGCTGTCCATGTTTCGATCGCTGGATCGAACACATCGATTCCAGTGGCCATCCTCGTCGCCAGATATGTTGTGTATTTACTCGAATAAATGAGATTTATAACTCAGCCATGCGGTTACAAACTATTTATTACGGAAGTAACATGAATAACATCTAAAACCGAAAACGTACAAATCTACAGAATTCCGGAATACTACAACAACGTGAAGTTTACTTTTGAAAAGCTAGCAATACAGATGTATATATTTCTCGGGTATTAACAAGTTAAATTATGTTTTATCAATCAGTCAGTGTTTTATTGATGTATACAAAATTAAACTGTTTGCTTTCTGGGTATTTTAAATGTTGCTAAACAGATAATCCCCCCCAAAAAATAGCCAATGCCTATAACATACAATGTAGGTGCATTCTTTTTTTAATTTTTAACTTATGTTCGATCATCTATGAATCTAACGCAATGTTCCTATATCAAATAGTGTGCATAACATCTCAACAACGCCAAAATTGCCTTAATGCTACCATTGTTTGAGGCACTACATACTCTTGAGAATGTCTTCTCATTCATGCAAAGTTAAAATGATGAAATTTTCTTTTCTTTTCTTTTTTTTTTTTTTTTTGTTGCTTTTAATTATAATTTAAAATGTGACCAAAGCTCTACTGAAAAACAGTTTGGTTGAGGTGCAATGGAAGATCTAGAGTTAGCACCCTTTGTTCAAAAACATTATATTGCTCATCCCTATTTCCGTATGATTTCCGTATGATTTGTAGTGTGTGTACTGTGTAAGTTTAAAAAAAAAAACGGCCACTAATACTGTCCGTAATCTTTACCGTGTTTTATTATTCTGTTTATGTAGATGTAGATTGGTAAGAAACACATTCAACACTGACTTTATATTTACTTGTAATTAAAAAAATACATCCCCCCAAATACAGCTTAGACCGAAGTTCTAAAAATTTGTCAGGTTCTTATTCCAATGGAAAACTTGCTTACAGAAACACTTATTTGACTCTGCACTGTGTAATTTTTATTAGATATGTATTCCAAATAAAATTTGTTGTAGATGTATGATACATTTCTTCCTTTTTTACTATATTTTGGGTCAAAGTAACTGTGAATAACATAAAAAGTAGGTTATTTACATCAGTTACGATTTAAGGAACTGCCTGTATGTGCATCAATCTTTCGTATAAGATTATTTGTCATCTTAAGTTCCACACTTATGGAGGAAACTCGGATTGATAACATGTCGATAAAAACAAATGACATCAAACTATTAAATATCAAAATCATAAATCGTAACTTGTGCACTAAAAAATTCTCTGCTAATATGACCCTTGATTATATGATGTTGATTAGTTATTCTTAAACCTTGTTTGTTAGAGATATACACCAACCAGAAATTTTTATTAATATTCTCCTATGGGGTTTTGATAAGACATTCTTAAACCTGCACTACATATCTGAACAAATATACCAGCAATTCTTATATTTCCGAGGCATTTAAGTAGTTCATGAACCCATGTTAAATGTTCATATAAAAAAATATTTATAAATAAACAAAATATACCACCAGATCAACTTTAGCGAAGTAGTTTTTGGTTTACACGGACGCCCCTATTTAACTTAAAATCCCATAGTAATACGGAATCTTTAATTTACATGCAGTCTTAACAAGCAGTGAGGGATCCAAGACTCCTGCCTCCCATATCTAGTTCTGATTTTTGAGGCCTGTATTTGGCAACTAATTTTCTAATGGGGTAGAAACGAATAAATTCCCCATTTTTGGGGGCTGTTCATTGTATTTTCCGTAGGGGCATAAAAGGGCTTAGATGGTGGAATTTAAGATAGTGGTGAGAGGGACTTCTATCTGTTGACTGCATGCAATGGTGAAGGGGTTGTCCTTTGTCCGCACAGCTTCAGTTTCTTATTCTCTTTTATTTTCATTTTTCGAATTATCACTTTTGTTTCTACTGGTTGCATGTATCCAATCTGAATATCGAGTATTGTTAGGTATCTCTTTCTCTCTTTGAAAAAAGCCTCTAATTACAGATTTAATGCAAAAAGGGGGTTATCTTCCAGTGCAGTGATTATGAAATCGACGTATTTTATTCGCATTATATCTCATTTTACTTTGTTAGAAGAACTGACTAAAAACACTGCTAGGTACCAAAGAATTCAAAACGTCTGTCCTAAATTGACAGATAAATTGAGCTGGTAGTATAAAATCAAATATTCTTGATTGAAATGGTTTCTCTCTTCATAATTAGACAAGTTGATGTGCTTGGTTAAATATAGAAATATACACAGGTAAAATTGCAACGAATGTTTACCATATGTTTTGAGAACCATATGTTGAACATAAGTTAGACATACGTTGAACATATGAATTTTCCACAGTATGTTTAACATATGTTTATAACCTATGTTGAACATATGTTTAAAACATATGTTGAACATATAGCCGACTCAAAACATATGTTGAACACATGTTTGAGGTAACCATATGTTTAACATATGTTTAACGTATGTTCAACATATGACACTTTCAAACATATGTTTAACATATGTTTTGAGTTTGACACTTTTTACAATAAAACATCTCCAACGTCAGGAAATGTTCAACAGCTCAATTTTCCTGCCAACAAAGTTGAGAGTTACCTTACATTTTAGGTAATTTATAAATAAAATTCATAAAAAGTTCAGTAATCCACATTAATTTCTGGGTTACATTTTTGGGTAGGTATACCATTCCTAGACCCCCCCCCCCCCCTCGGCTTAAAAAGAAATCCTTTATTAGTCTGTGACTGCTTTAAAGCTTAATATAAATTACAAGAAATTTATTTTATATTAATTCTAAACAAATGGACTTCAGGTAAAAAAAAATATTTTCAAAAACATATATATGAAGATGGATTTGAATGTATATTTATTTACAAGAGTGTAGATGATCATTTCTTGTACAAGCTCACATAAAAAGGATCGATGTCTACTCTGTTACTCTGCACCCTCACCCCACCCTCTTCAAATTTTCACAAAATATTTTACTTTTTAAAACTAAATTTATCAAGTGGAAACAAAAATTATTGTAAATTTTAAACCGTTTTAATTTGGTTTATTCCGGATCGGTTTCGGTTTATATCGGATGAAAATGTACGTCACATTTGACGTCACTGCTGCAGCAGAAGTGATGGGTGTTGGAAAAAGGTAAGTGCTCTCAGATATTTTTTTAAGACTTTTGGCCTAGTTCATTGTGTTATAATCATTTCATTACGGATACAGAGAAGCAAATAAACTTTATGTATAATGCAGCCTTCCTATCCACAAGTAGATACAGCTCTAATGCAGATCAGATTAAAGCCGAATCTGGTGACCAAATAGGAAAATTTGGATTTGTTTATGATAAATGAAAAACCATACGGATCCAGCATTACAAATTTTTCATGTAAATTTGTTTTCCTTTTGTCAGAAGTTATGCTTCCATATAATACAACGATCTCGATATGAAAGTGAAAGTAGAAACATTGTGTAGCAGTTGAAGTAAAATGTTATATTTAGATCGCAATCGCATCATCTCGGGTCTTTCCGTCAGAGGTCGGAAATCAACCTCGAATGTATTTACATCACCGGATGTTAAAAATTAATACATTTCCTGTTTATTCAAGCATAGGATAGAGTGAGTTAGAAGTCCTTTCTATAGTATATTTTAAGTAATATCATTACATTGAATAAAGTTAAATTCCATATTCCACAGATAAAAGGTCTCCAAGCATTTATTTCAAAGATCATGAAAAGGGAGGGTTGTAATGGCGTCTACCATATACATTCGATGTCGTTTTTCTGCTAGTCGGAAAGGCCCGAGAAGTTGTGATTGATTCAGATCGTTATCCATACGGTTCTTTCAACAATTTAATGAAAACTTTTTGTTTTTTTAGGCCTACTGAAGCATCCCAATGCCGTTTTATTCAAAAAACCCAATGCTGAATTGACTGAGTGACGATTGAACAAAGTTATTGAACCAATGCCGATTTTATTGGCGATTGCGTTATGACAAATCAGGTACATACAACAATAAACATAGTGTTTACCATTAATGACTATTAAAGGAAAGAATATTTCCTGAGAAAAGTCTTTCTGTATTTGTATCTTAATTCATGATTTACTGTTTTTTTTTTTTTAAAATAATCCAACTCTTTCTTTTACAGAACAATATTCCAGCGCATTTTTTAAAAACCTGTAAGGTATGGAGAGAATTTCTGGCCATAAAACAACACAATATCTACATATGGAGATAAATTGTCATCTAAAGCAGACATAAAAGGTACTAGTTTATGTGATCATGATTTACAAGTGTCAAAAAAATTTGTGTATTTAATTTTATGAAATAAAAAATATATGCCTACTTTAAAAACTGAATTAAAAAACTCCATAGTATCAGGTAATTCATTGATTATTTATATATCAATTAACATTTCAATTATTTTTTTCAACACAAAAGAAACTAGAGTCTCTGTTGTAGTTAGATATGCACATAATAAACTGAGTTAATAATTATTAAAATTTGATATTTTTACAGGTTCAATATTCAGCCTGCCTTTTTTATTTTGAAGGCATTGAAGAACAGACACCCTGACCCCAAGCTTGCTTCAAAATATGTAAGTAAATACTCTGTAATAAACTTGAAACTTTCTTATATATTCTTCCCATGAAAGTTTTGGATATACTGTATTCAAAATGTCTGTTTTTTTTGTTTGTTTGTCTGTTTGTTTGTAGTCAAAGGTTATACATTTGTATCTCAATCATTCTGAATCATGCCTATAGCATTTTTGGCAATCTTGTATTTTTTAAACATTCCAATTTCAATTGTCAAAATTTTGAAAAAGTTATTGCTAATTTGCTTATAAGCTCACCTGAGACTAAAACTAGAACAAGCTTTTTGGATTGAAGTCTGTCCCTTGTCTGTCATAATCATTGTCATCTTAAACTCTCACAATTTCATCTTTTATAAAGTTTCAAATTACATTAGATATAACTAAATTACTTGCAGTGTTTTTTCGTTTTTTCCAAGAGCTCAATCAGCAGAATCTTTACATTGTAGACTCCATCCATGCCTTAAGATGAGAAGTTTTCAAATCATTTGACCATGATCCAAGGGTCTGATGAAATTTCTTAAGTGCTCAAGGTAATTACTTTTTGTGGTAACATATTTTAATTAATAATACATGTAATTATCATGACATTGGCACTTCTTAATTATTCAATTATTTTCTTCATCATTTCAGAAGCAATGCAGTCACTGTCAGGGAAATGAACCCAGAATTTTATAAAAATTGAAAAATAAATGCAGGATTAATGCTTATAATTTTGTGTTTTTGATTTCTTATTGTAAATTTAAGGCATTTAAGGACAAGTTTGATATTAAGTTCACATTACAATCCAAGGAAATACCAGTCATGAATAGGAACATTTAAAGGAAGAAATAAAATTAACATATGCTCAACATATGCTCAACATATGAACATAAACATATGTTGACCAAATGATCATACAAAACATATGAATAACATATGTTAAACGTATAATAAACATATGCTTAGAAACATAAGTTAACCATATGTTGCTCGATTTTTATGGCGAACAAATGTTTCGGAACATATGTTAAACGTATGTTCAACATATGTTGAACATACGTTGCAATTTTACCTGTGTATATTTCTTTTTAAAATGTACGAAGATGTATTGAAAGAAACAGACTGATTTTCAAATATGGATGTATGCAAAGATATGTTCCATCGCTAATCATCTATAAAAGTATCAGAGGATATGGATGCATTGCATCTAGGACATTAAAATTATAAATGTATTTGAATAAGCACATCGATGGCCTATTTCCTGAGTTATGCATTTCTTTAACTTGTACAGTATATAAATTTTTAGATATTTATTCACTATCGTACCGACATTTTTACTGAAATATGCAGCAAGATTTTGTCTTTTTCTATAGCCATCATTCATTTTTATATTAATACTGAGAGTCAAATTCTTATTAATCTGAAGTCAAAAGTTTTCAATTTTCACTCATGTTTCATTTTGATGAAAAAAATGATCCTAGCACAAATATATAAAATATAATTCTAAATTTTGATGACTTACTTTAGATATTGTCATATCACCAAGATAAGAACATGAGAGAAATTTTCTTGGTTTCAATATCATGCTTCTCCTCCTAGACATCATCTCTCTGGTGTTTCCATGGATCGCTCTTTTTTACCCTGTTGATGATTTGTTTTGTTTACTAGATCTATGACATGGATCATTTTCTGTTAACTTTACATTTTACATATAACGATGTTTTAGAGACCTTCGATGGAATCAGATCACCAATCTGGAAGATAATGCCTTCGACGGTTTGTCAAATTTAAAGGAACTGTAAGTAAACCAAAACCAATGAAAGATGAGCGTAAGATTAGTTTTCCCTTTGCAAAAGCATGTATATTTTCTGCTTAGTTGAAAACCATTTAAACTTTTTTCCTGTTAAACACTGGTGAATGCTTCTAATCAAGGTATATTTTCCCTCTGAATGAGTTTGTGTATCTTGTGCATTCAGTGGTTTTTCTTTTATTTATTAAATTAGGTCGGTGGTCCGTTGGGCAATTTGACTAACTGATATGTTTAATTTACAGTAATTAGAATCTCCATTTAACTTGTGAAATAAGTTTTATATTCATTTATATTATGACAGGTTAATAAGGCATATATAGTAATATTGTAAATGGTGACATACTGAGGGACATTTAGCAATTCAAATGCATGAAGCTAGAGTATACTGTATTTTGCTGGTCATCATGTAGCACTTACGGTCAGTTGATCTTTTTTTTTAATCCCATATGATAGGCTGTAGTCTATAATGTATAAACATTATCCCATCTGGCAATTGTAACCGTTGGCGCAAATCCAAGTAATGAACAACTGTTGATTTTAAAATTCAACTTCCTGAAATTGCCGCTTTCTGTACGTCATTTTTTTTATTGTCAATACACTAAACAAGCGGGACTCTGATGTGATTTTCTGACGCAGCACTGTTAAGGCCTACTATTCTTTGAAAACTGAATTTATTTTAATTAAGCTTTTTTTATCACAGAACTTAAATACTCATGGAAATAGCATAGTATAAGCCATTCTGTACTGTATGAATTTTAGTCCCATCAATGGACAGTCACGTGATGAATGCATAGTTCGTGTACTGAATGTAGGTCAGAAACACATTTCAATATCGCAAGGGCATACCCTAGATGAAATTAAAAATTAAAGGTATCAATTGTTTCTGCATACTTTGTAGTTTCTGAAAAGTGCTGCTGCTTTGAATAGATTTTCAGGTAAATAAGCCAATGTCGAAATATGTTCGGCTTTTACCAAATATTTTGTGTACTTGTTAAATCTCGCCCTCGATTTAAAGAACGCAGAAGCACTTTTCAAGGTAAGAAAAATATCCTTTATCTATATTCAAAAAATGGTCAAGATCTATTAAGTGTATGCCCTCGTGAAAGTACTATTTTATGAGGCATCTCAAAGTAAAATAATCGAAACCTGTACATATAAATACGACATGATTAATAAAATACATTCTCTTGATACTTAATGAATAATCGCACTTAACAAAGGATATGCATTGGTATAAATAAACTATTTAAATCCTGTAAATAATATTCCATTTAATAATAAAATGCATTTTTCATTGTTAGACAATTCCTTAATCTGCCTCTCACAGCACATGAAGTACGTCATTTTTACCAAAATGACGTCATGTTTACTAGTTCATCGCGATCAGTGCTTTGTTTATAACCAGCTACATCAGATGTAACTAGCAAGTTATTTTTAATGCATTGATAAGTGTTATTGTTGTTTATTACGCTAATACAGTTAAAAGATGCAAATTATTTCCTTTTTAGGTATTTCGAGAAATTTATAAAAGTCATATTTTTGTGTGACGTCACAGTAAACTTTTCCCGTAAAAATTAGGCCCCGCTCCCTTTTTCAAGCCTTGACAATGCTGCGGAGATATAACGTAATATGAAATTACAATGTGATCTTTTCAATGGAAACTCGAAACAAACTCATTAGCTTTCATTCAACGTTTAATATTTTATCACCCATTCTCCGCATTTTTTTAAATGACCCCTTAAAGACTCTTGCACTACCACTGGAATTGTGGCCAGAGTTATATATTTCTTCAAACGTCTGATGTTAGTCGAACGATAAAATAAAACGTCATTTACGGCATATCTATTAAAATCTTAATTTTTCGCTTTTGACCTACATTTTCCGCGAATAAATGTTCAATTATGAAAAAAAGAACAGATTAAAATATTGAATATTTAACAAATATTTTAGTATATTTGTACTAAGAATACGTCAGAAAGAATAGTTTATTCGGAAATTTAAATGGTTGCGGATATTATGATGCATGGTATATCAAAAAGATGTTTCTTTTACAGTACAACGTATGGGTAGCGCTACATGTAACACACAAAAAGAAGCCTTACGCATGAACAACGTTCTTTCATTTTACTGACATATACAATGGAATACCTTGAAAATTCTGCACATACATAAAATATTATCCATTCAGTGCATTGTAACGTACACCAACATACATCGTCTTGTTAAAAAAGTTATCTATATTTTATTCAACGTAAGCCAGCATATTTTATTTTTTTTTTTGTACGTTTGTATACGTTAATACTACATATGCACACCGTAGAAGCTAGTAGTACAACTTTGAATAATATGTAAACTACATGTTAAGTAAAAGTTAAAGATAAGTCAAAATAAGGTTCCCAATATTTTTTTTTCACACTCTAGATAATTACCCATCGATGTATGAGATTGTTTTAATGAAACGTGCTTAAACATACGCATCGATAAACTTTTACATACATCTAACTTATGATTAACTTGAAAAGGTAATGTACATGTAACCGTGTAATTTTCACGCTTATAAAAATGAAACATTCAAAATATTGGAGCACATTCAGCGCACGACAACTCAAAAGCGTTCTTTTAATTTAAAGAAAAGAAAACTTACTTCTAATTCAACGTACACAAGTGTGTTTGCCCGTTTTTCCCGATTCTGTTGACGTTGATACTAAACGTTGCACTCCATCACCCGCTTCAAAACAACAACAACAAATCACATTTTGAATAAATTAAAAACAAAAGCTTGCTGAATAATTATATTGTAAGTTAATCGTTCAAATGTTTAAGGGACTCCGACCCTCAGCTAGGAAGGACAACTCTTTAATTTATAATCTAATTCAAAAAGTCTTTAAATGAAGCTTGAAAATTAAATATTTTCATGCAACAATTTTTATTATATGCCTCTCAATGTGCTACAGAATTCTATGCAAAGCTTCAAAAATTACTTCTAATTTCATACCATGTTAATAAACATTGGTATCTAAAAATGCTTTTTCGGGATAAAAATTTCTATTTTTAATTAGACCTTTCTGAGAAGTTCAAAGGACTTTGAAGCACATCGAGAGGCATATAATGAAAATTGTTGCATGAAAAGATTTAATTTTTACGCTTCATTGAAAGACTTTTTGAATTAAATTATAAATTAAAGAGTTGTCCTTCCTGGCTGAGGGTCGGAGTCCCGTTAAGTATAAATTTGATCCCCAGTAAAAAAAATGATTAACATTTATTTGACGGAACATTTCAAGGAATCTTCAACTGAATCAAATAACCACACTGGAAGATAACGCTTTCCATGGTTTGTCAAATTTAAAGACACTGTAAGTACGAGTATGCAAAACTAAAATATTGAGTGTCTCTTATTCCTGGATAACTAATCAAAGTCTTGAAAAAAAAAAAGGAAAGCGATGTCCAGTGAATTTGTTAACTGAATAGAATCTTATAATTTAATATGCATAAGCTTGCATATCTAATTTAATTTCATTTTTTGTTAATATTAATGTTCTTTTTAATATTAAAAACTTACCTTTCAAGGTCAATAAAAACATTCAATTGTAAATCTTTATTTTTGCAATTTCATGTTTAATGTACATAAACCAAATGTTAGAAGAAAAGTATTCAAAGTAACACATAATGTGGACGGGGGATAGAACGAAAGAACCATTTTATACTCAATGGCCTTTAATGCAGAGTAAAGACTTTAATTAGTCCTTCACCGATATATAGCGACCTCTCTTTATGAATCAAATATTCTCCAAAGGGGGCATAAAACAGCATGTAAGCAAATAATCAATCAATCAAGTATTTAAAAAATAAAATAATTTAGGTTGCAATAACATTTTCAAATAAACAATTTACATTAATTAATTCAAAAGATCAGGTCTTTTCTTCATGTTTACATGTAAAACTAATTGCCCCTAATAAGAAAAAAAACATGAATAAATATAAATAAAAGTATATAACAATGATCAACGAAATTTAATCCAACACAAAATTTCTATATGACCATGTAATGAATAGGGTTATACGTTCAAAACAACGGAATTAGATGCCAACGAACCTATTTTCAAAGACAAATCCACGTAATTTTGTGTCCACGAAAATTTGTGATTCTACAGTATATTTTAAATAAAAAATCATAAAATAAATAATTCAATAAATAAACAATCAAACATACAAGAAGAAATAAATAAAATATGAATAAAAAATAAAATAAAATGAAAACTGAAAAAAAATAAATAAAAGAAAACAGAAATGAAATTGATAAAAACAAACTAAAAAAATGAATCAATGATGAAAGATAAATAAATTATTAAATATTTAAATAATTGAATAAATAGATGAAAAATTAGATAAGTAAATAAAGGAATAGTAAATAAGTAAATAAATAAATATTAATATCAATATTGTACAGAATAATAAAGATTTTAAAAAAGCAATAAATTCATTTCTTGCTCTGAAGTGTAAAGTAGGTTTCAATGATTGTGTATTTCAAATTCAAGATTTTCAGACCATGGTCTGTGAAAGGAGTAATTTAAGGTCATTGGCAACGCAGGGTTTCCGGTGAAAAAAAAAGGTTTATACCCAGGTTTTTTCATTTATAAAAGTAGTCATTGAGAATGATCTCCCGTATGGAATTCTCTAAGCGGTGAAAACCAATAAAGCGTGCGTTACAGACTGAGAGGTAAACAAAAGCACGTGTGTGTTTTTTATCTGATATATTCAACTCTAGAGTAATAAAAGAAAAGCAGCGATGGGTTTGTTTACATTGTGCTGAGGGGGCAGTCAGTCAAGAAGTCGTCATTTAGAATAAGTACATATATGCTGGGAAGTGCAAAGATGTGAAATAATTATGCTGAAAGTGGCGATAGCTAGGTAGACTGAATTAGAACGATTCTATAGGTTATGTGAAGGAGGCACCATTAAAAGTTTATAATAAATTCTTGCAAAAATGTTAAATGACAGTTCCTTTCAAATAAAGTAAATTATGGTATAGAAACAAACAACCAGTCTCTTGATCATTATGAATAATAATTAGATGTTAAGGGAAGTAACTCTAAATCAAAAAACAGTGCTGGTATTTCTGTGTTTTGTTTCTGTATTTGCAATTTCAGCCAAAGTATATGTTTGTCATCGAAAATGAAGATTCAACAATGTATTTTATGTAAAAAACTTTATGAAATAAATGGGTTTTAGAAAAAACTTATGGTTGAAAATAATATAGGACCATTTTATCAACATTTTACATAGGAAATGCATTGAAAATTGTAAAAACATTGATTCGACAAAATCTTTAGAGAAAGGCTGACTTGATGGGTAAAAAGGACCTGAATTGAACATGTTTGGTACCATTAAACCTGTTCAGAAGTTCTTGAAAAATTCTATACAAAATCCAGAAACGTTGCCAATGTCCTTAAAAACAAAACAACAAAAATAAAATTCCCTAGTACATCCATCTTTCTAGAAATAAATCCACAACGTTTAGTTTAGTTAAGAAACATACATGTACGACATATTAAGTCGTATGTACGATGATGCATGATGCACAATAAGTACTCAAATCAAATAAGCAAAGATATACATTTTGTTTAGATAAAAGAGCAATTTTTAATAATTATTTTCATTTAATACAAAGAAATTCCTCTACAGGATTCGAACAGGGGATATTATGTATAGTTTATTTTATATTACCGTATAAGTAGAAATTTTAGCGAGGATTTAATTTTGGCATTATTAGCGAGGGTCCCGAGATCGCTAAAATTAAATATCGCTAAAAATTAATTGCATTTTATTTGTAATAGCTTCTTTAGTAAGCATTTTAAAATCGCTAAAATTACCTCTCGCTAAAAATAAATTACCATTTTTTAAGGAGAAATCGCTAAATTTGCGTCTCGCTAAAATTTCCACTTATACGGTAATCTGTAAACTTGTTAGTTTGTTCAAATTCACAGATGATAGAATAGGAATTAGAACTACATTATGCAATAAAAAAGTTTGACCTTGACTTGTGCCTTTGCCCATTTTCAAAGCCTTATTAATTTGGGGACGATATTTTGAAGAGTAAAGGGCTATTTAGGATATCGTCTGGAAAAAAATGTTTAAATGTAGAGAGAATTATAAATTACTGTTATAGCAATAAGTTACAAGTGGTATAATGTTTTTGACTCGCCAGTTAGTCCGTCAGTCCTCTTCATTTATTATTTTTTTTTATTTATTTATTTATTTATTTATCTTATAAGCACGTGCACAGCTCTTCTTAGACCACTACATAGAATTTCATGACACTTTATAGATAATTAGATCACAATGTAAAGATGTGCATATTACCAAGAAATTTTAATTTCTTTATTTCTTCCGGAAAGTTTGGCCCTTTGAACTTAAAATGTTGACCATATATTGAATATAGAGATGAAAAGTTTTTCAAGCGCAACTCCTTTTAAGAGGGCTGAGGGTCATGGCCATTCTTTGACTATATTGCTTTCCTCTAGATGAAGAGATCCAGTTATGTAAAGAAAAAGAAAGCTAATAAAACTTATTGGCTTAAATTATGCTTTTTTCTTAATTAAATAATAGCTGAAATCTTTTACTTGATAAAGAAAACTTTCATATATCTTATACTTGCGACACTGCTTTATGTCATTTGAAATCTCAAAAGCATGCTTTCCGCTACGGCACAACAGGCTATTGTTTCGTATATGGGAGACCCCTACTTATTTTTACCACAGTTAGGAAACCCTTCCGGGTTTAGATCTTTAGGATCAACTGCATGTCATTCCTGCATTTTTCTTGGGGGAGGGGGATGCGTGTGTGTGACTCCTGTATCGAGTAAGAAACAGTGAATAATTTTTGTCCTCAAACAAAGTATGCTTACACTGTGGAATAGTCCCAGTTGATTCTTTTCTTTGTTTAGAGAATGATATTTATGATCTGTATTCTTTTGAACGCAGTTTATTGCAATAGGGGAAAACTTTTATACAAGAAATTGGAGTGAAATACACCATCATGTTTTTCATAAAAAGAAAAATTATAATACTTTGGTTAATCACCGTAATCTTGGTCACATTTTATCAGATGTAATTATGGCAATAAATATAATCTTAGTTTACGTAAAATTCCGTTAGTTTGAATAATATCTATCATTAAACAAATCATGCAAATTAATGCATATAAATTATTGTGTGACCTTTTTGCACTAAAAAGCACCATATTTGGGGTAAAAAAAAACTAAGAAGGCAATAGAAGATTTTCTTGTATCAAACTTTTTATAACTTGAGTGCTGATCGGTTGGGGGTATCGTTTTGTTTGACATTTATTTAAGGAATGTTTTTAAGTGTTTTGTGAGTTATTGGTGTATGAATCACACAGACTTGTCACGTAAGCATATTTCATGAAGCGCGCAAGCGCTTCATGAAAAATATGCCTACTTGCAAGTCTGTGTGATTCACACACCAATAATTCACACTAAACTGAAAAAACAGTCCTTATATTTACATTTTACATGTTTAGAAGCAACTAAAATATGCTACATATTTGAATTTTTCGCAGCCCTTTATCGTGGCATTTTTACTAACGTCTCCACAGCCTCATTGTGACGTCACGTTAACGCACGTTTCTCCGTATATATTTCTACGCGTGAATATACAAACAAAGTTCGACAAATATAAACTGAGACATATACTTTAATATTCTTTGTAAATCATAACGGACAATTTTGTTAAAATGAAAATATGTGCGGCTAAAGTTCCACGATATTAAATTTAACAAATATGTAAATTTGAAAAAAAATTTCTTCTAAATATCCTACTACCCCAAGACATAGTCCCATATAAACCTCACCTATTTTCTAATGTGTAAGCAGATTTTTAAATGAATGTTGAAAAAATTGCATTTTTTAATTTCAATATCTTGCAAAAATAGAATTGTAATCAATAGTTTTAAAGTTAAAGGTTCTTACTGAACTTTTCCAAAAAGCTGACGAGTGGCATATACCTTAGCAAGTTAAAAACGTACAACACACTGGGGGAGATAACTCTTGCGATTTCAATTAAACGTTTAACTTGATGTCAAATTTGACGTGTATAGTTAAGCGTTAAAATGACGAACGAATCGATCCCGACGTAATTAAAAGAAAATGGGATTAGGTACTTGATGTGGTTTCTTTAGAAATACCATTCGAGTCCTTGATAATTTGGGCTTTTGATTCCATCCTTATATAAAGAAGGAAGAAAAGAAAGATTTTTCTGTAATTTCTTTGATTTTATATATAAGTCGTATCTGTCATCAATATTAGTCCGACAATATTCTTTATCTTTTTATGGTT